GAGGACCGTCTCGCACCTTCAGTGATATTCCGTACGCATCCACCGGACCGGTCCACAAGATCTCAACATGGCATTCGGAAAGAGGTCTACACGGATGGTACAGTTAAATATGGTATGTTGACATCTTCTGGTGAGCCATATGATTTAACCGAAGCTTTGCAAAATAAAAATTGGAAAGAGGCTATGTTATCTGAGTATGATGCCCTTATGAAAAATAAAACTTGGCACCTAGTTCCACCTCAAAAGGTAGGACGTCATAGGGTGTAAATGGGTTTATAAAATCAAAAGAAAATCAGATGGCAGCTTAGACGGATATAAAGCTCGACTAGTAGCTAAAGGATTTAAGCGGTGATATGGTATTGATTATGAGGACACCTTTAGCCCTCTGTTGTTAAAGCGGCTACTATTCGTGTCATTCTCTCTTCTTTTTTTCTCTGGGTTGGTCTTTGCGACAACTTGACGTATATAATGCATTCCTTCATGGACTCTTGGAAGAAGAGGTTTATATGCAGGCCCCACGGTTTTGAAGATCCAAAGCGGCCTCACTACGTGTGTAAGTTGGACAAAGCTCTATATGGTCTTAAACAGGCCCTAGAGCACAGTATTCAAGGTTAAGTGAGAAACTTTTGCAACTCGGGTTTAAAGCTTCAAGGTGACACATCCTTGTTTTATTTTAGCAAGGAGTCATAACTATTTTTGTACTTGTCTATGTTGATGATATCATTGTGGCTCAAGCTGAACAAGCAAAGAAGTGCATTACTCGAAGATCCTGAAGGGCTTAATTTGCTCTTAAGGATTTGGGAGAACTTCATTATTTTTTGGGTATTGAGGTAACCAAGGTTAAAGGTGGTATTATTCTCTCTCAAGATAAGTATGCTTCGATCTTTTGAAGAAAGTGGGGATGGCGCCTTGTAAGCCGCTTAATACACCTATGGTTACTCATGAGAAGCTCTCCTTGCATGTGGGCACATTACTTGGTGAAAATGATGCAACAAAGTACGGAAGTATAGTTGGTGCTCTCTGAAGATTTAACATTGACTCGTCCCGACATTTCTTTTGATGTCAATAAGGTATGTCAATTTCTTCATCATACCGACTACGTACATTGGGAAGCGATTAAAAGAATATTAAGATATATCAAGCAATGCACAAGTCTTGGCCTTAAAATACATAGATCTGCTTCTACTTTGTTAAGTGGTTTTCCGATCGATGATTGAAATTGGCTGCATTGATGATAGAAAGTCTCTGAGGAGGCTTTGCCATATTTTTAGGAGGTAATCTTGTTTCATGGAGTGCTAGAAAGCAACCTACTGTGTCTAGATCTAGCACTCGAGGTGAATATAAAGCTATAGCTAATGCCACTGCAGAGATTATGTGGATACAGATCCTTTTGAGAGAAATTGGAGTTAAAAGCCCTAGAGCAGCTAAAATATGGTGTGATAATTTGGGAGCTACATATTTGTCTAGCAATCCAATGTGTTTCATGCTAGAACAAAACATATTGAAGTGGATTATCATTTTGTTCGAGAACGAGTGAAGAATCGTCTACTTGAGATAGATTTTGTTTCCTCAAAGATCGTAGCGCGAGCGGATTCACCAAAGCATTGCCGGTGAGATTAAATGAGAATTTTAAAGTCAATCTCAACTTAGCGAAGTTGTGATAGAGGGAGGCTGTTAGAAGATATATTAGCGTGTGTGTGGTAATGCGTGTATTATGATGTACATTTGTGACAATCGAGTAGCATGGCGCTCGAGAGATCTCCGAGAACATTCTATATTACATTATAGATAGATTAGGTTGTTGTGATCTGTTGTAATCCTAGGATAGTTAGTTGGAGATCTCCTAGCGCCAGCTGATGGTTGTTACCTCCTGTAACCTCGCGCGTTTGCGCCTATATTAACATGTACCGGCGCCGGCCAAGGGTCAAGGGCGACGTTCCCACCAAACCTTCCTGCCCTCTGTTTCTTTACACCCTGGACACCATAGTAGCGACGATCTCCTAGGCCTAGCCTCGTCGAGTTTCGCCATACACGAGCTAGGAGCTCATAGTGCCGCCGCCGTTCCCACTGCGGTGCTTAGCTGCAGGCTGAGGTGAGCTCGCCATCAGGTCTGTGGCCTCCTCCCCCACCTCCCGCGCCCCTCCCTTGGGCTCCTCTACCGATGCTGTCGCATCTAGCATCGAGCCACCACCCAGAGGCGTGAGAACGCGTTGTATGCGTTGCACTGCGCTGCCCCGATGCTGCCTGTACCGTGTTGTGCTATTGTCATGCTTTGCCCGTGCTGTGTTTGCATCTCTCGCTCACTCTCCTTGCCTGCTCTCTCTGTTCGCTGTTTCCATGGAGAGCAGCAGGCCGTCACACAACTAAAAAGTTACAACTCGGTTATAGAAAACTTTATATGACTCAAAGTAAAACTTCTAACAGCGGGCACGACGGCACCCAGTGGCCGCGGATTTTCAAAATTCATTGACGACAGGGCGCGGCTGGCTCTCGTTGTGGGTTCGTTAGCTAGGCAACTTCCGCAGCTATTGGTGCAAGGAATTGAACTAGGAGGCTTTCGAGCTAGCTGAATTTGATAGGCGAAGGGAGCTCTGTTGTTTTGGCTCGTGTATGGCGATGGCGATGCGAAAAACGCTTGCAACAGCCTTTACCTTAGGAAGAAACTCTGTGAGGCTAGGCCTAGGATGTAGAGAGGCTCAAGGTGAAGCTACGGTTGCGACTAATTTGGGGATGGTGCAGTGGAGCTCGTGAATTTTGGCCTCCGGCGGCTGCTGCTCTCCATGGAAGCGACAAGCAAAGAGAGCAGGCAGGGAGAGTGAGCGAGACATGGTGGCTGCTGCTTCCCCCGGCCGCCATGGCCGCCGCGCCTGCTCCGTCCGGTGGCGCCACCGCTCCATCCGGCACGTTCGCGCCGCCACCCCTGCTCCATCCGCCCTGAGTATGCGTATTGGAAAACGAACAGGCATCTGACGAGCGGGCACAAGCGCCAGCGTGTCCAATACATCCAACATGGACTGCCACGCAAGCAAAACCACTACCACCCAAGCAAAACCGCCTAGCAAAACCACCCAATGAGGTAAATTGACCGGTTTTGCAAACTTTAATGTGTTTAATACCTTGTTTTATATTTTGGGGTTTAAGTAGATACCTCTCCAAAGCTCACGAGGGTGATGTAGACTTTTTCCTTTTATTTTTGTATGTCTTTTGTGTTGCGAAGCCTGAGCTGGACATGATCGAGACGCCAATCGTTCAGCAGCTGAGCCATCAGGCTGCCAATAGGTTGAACTGAATTCGAGCAGTATTCGTATCCAAATGCTCACTTAAGTTCCGTGCTGAAACTTCAGAAGGTGCAGGCTCTTGGTTCTGCTCCGGTGCCTGGACGGTAGGATTAAGGAGCAGCACAAGGCAGCCAAGAGAGAAATGACATGGGGCCTGTTCGTTTGAACTTATCAGCTGGCTTATCGGTTAGAATCTACAGTATTTTTCTCCAACAATAAATCAGCTTCAGCCGGCACCAGCCGAACAGGCCCATGGCTGCTAAACTGGCAGAGCTGTTAGTTGGCTTGCCCTGTCTTTTATATTGCACACCAAAACCCAGGAGACTGGATCTGGATCCTTGTCATCGTCAGCACATTTATTCATATTTGCCGTCTCTTGGATAATTTTACCATCCAATCCAAGACCAAAAAGGACATGATAAAGATACAGCTATATTTATATGGGTACAAGCCGATCAGGAAGTACACACAAGAGATGTTGAAAATGCCTCCTCAGCCAGCCGCCATCGCCGCCCGTAGCATCCACGGTGGTGGCGGCGGCGGCGGCTCTGCCATGGTCAGCCGTCAGCGGGCTCCTCAGTTGTGGCGCCAAGGCCGACGAAACCTTTGGGCTAGGATGAAACTCTTTTTTTTTTTTTACTTTTTGATTGAGGAAACTCATGGGCTTTTTTTCAGTTGGGCTCCGTGGTCCGGTTGATACGGGTCATCGGTCGCAACTCGCAACTCGCAACTGGCCCGGCGACGCTCGAGCAGAGGGACCAGAAGACAAGGTCATTCTCGGTAACAGTTGGGTTGGCCGTTTCATTCCACCAAGTAAACTTTCTGCCACCTCCTCCCTAATTCCCAATTCATTAAGAGCCGATTTGAAGGTGTTCAAACGTCTCGGCTTTGTATGTCCTTACTCTTATCCGGTGGTCTGTATATGGCATTGAAAATCTCCCGAAAATGGTCCAGCTAGGAAATGAGTACAAAGTACTTCTTCCGTTTCAAATTATAAATTACTTTGATTTTAGTCATATATTATATCTAGATGTATATCAAATGACGTAAAAAAAAATCTAAGTGACTTATAATTTGGAACGGAGTACTCTGTATATGAGATTGAAAAACAAAAAACAAATGCTGTGTATAATCTGAACTTCCCATTAATTATATATTTTTTTTATCAGAGAGAGTGTAGACGTGCAGTGATCTCTAGCGCAGCCGATAATTCCCTGTCTCTATTAATAACCAAATAACACTTGTCATCTTCAGCACATCATTTGCCCATACTTGTAATATGGAACTACCGTTTGTTTTCTTTGGTCATTTACCGTCAGAAACAAGAACGTAAATGAACATCCACGTTCATTCGCATAGAATTGCCAATATTTACAAGCATAGCAAGTACTGGTACAGTACACAAGAGATGTTAAAAATGCCTCTCTTCGTGCAGCTATCATGGCAAGATGTACGCGAAGAGAGCGAGGCGTCGTCCCCTAGTCTACTCCCTCGGCCCGCATCATCCTCAGCGCCAGCTCTGGCGCGAGATGCCGACGAAGCCTCCGGTCCATAGAGTCCACGATCCAACTCCTGTGGGCCGCTTCCACGTGGGCCATCTTCAATATGGGCCCTTCGGTCGCAACTGGCCCTGGGAACGGACCAGACCACCGAGAGCGCTCCGGCAACTCCGCCGCCGGCGCAGCTACGTGTCGTGGCGGTGGTGCTATGCTACTACTACCACTACCAGCACTGGTCCGTCTCCCACCTCCGCTGCCGGAACCCCGCCGGCGCCGCCCTGCTCCGGACCGGCGCGGCGACGGCCACGGCGCGGTCGTAGCGCGCGCGCTCGTCGGGTTCCGCAAGCGTGGCGTACGCAGCGTGCAGGCGGATGAACCCCTCGTCGCCGCGGCCGCCGGCGTCCGGGTGCACCTCCCTCGCCAGGCGCCGGTACGCCGCCTTGATCTCGCACCTGCTCGCGCCGGCCCCGACCCCGAGCACCTCGTAGTGCGTCCTCGCCGTCGCCGGAGCCGGCGCCGCCACCAAGGACGCGCGGGCCACGCACCGGCTGCCGCGCTGCGCGCCGCACCCGGCGCCGCAGGTCGGAAGAACCGCCGTCGATGCAAACGAAGCCATTGTTTCCACAATTCACAGTGCTCCTGCCTCCCGTGTGTGGTGTTCTTGGTTTCTTCGAGTGTTTCTTCGTCGTCGTCGAGGAGGCAGTAAGAAAGATAGGGAGAGAAGACTACGGTGCCCGACTCCGAGGTGCGCCGTGGGATTTATAGGGCGGTGGCGGCGAGGAGCTTGTGGTGGCGCTTGCGCGTCCACCTCTCGATCTTATCCGCGGGAGGATGGAGATGGAGATGAGATTCTCTCACTCTGCTTGTGCCTGCCCGCCTGCGGCCTGCCTGCGTTGGCAGCTGTTGCTTTCGCCATTGGATCCGGCAGCAGCCATCATTGTGGCTTGCCAACTCCCTCCTCGGTCCCTCCAGGAACAGGATAAAAGGATGCAACAATGGTAAGCTGTCCCTATTGTTGTGGTTATCTTCTTCTCCTTTTTTTTTTTTTTTTGTGTGCTAAACTTGTTGTTTAGGTTATCTGAATCGGAGCTCATCGTCTACTAGGAAATTAGGAGTACTGACTGCCTAACCTGCTGATTTTGCGGCCGTTAATGTTATCAGCTTCCTAGTGATTCATTTTTTTTTTCTGTCAGGCCATAAATTTAGGATTTTTTTTTTTTTGCTTCTCCTAATTTGTTTTGGTGATAATGTTGCTGGCATTAATCCACCCTGCTGCTGTGTCTGTGTCCATTAGCTTTTCAGTTTTCACATGTTAGGAAAGGCGCGGTTTTCAGAACATTTCAGTTCAAATGTGCTGAACCCACAAGACTTCTCACAGATAGCATATGATATCTTTCCATCTCCACATCATTAGTTATGTGTATAAGGGCTTGTTTAGGTTTTCCTCAAAAGTTTACATCCTATCTCATCGAATGTTTGGACACATGCATGAAATATTAAATATAAACTAAAAAAATAACTAATTACACAGATTGCGACTACTTTGAGAGATGAATCTTTTTAAACCTGATTAGACCATGATTTGGCAATGTTGTGCTACAGTAATACATGTGTTAGTGACGGATTAATTATGCTTAATAAATTCGTCTCGCGGTTTACGATACCCAATATATCACATCCTAAAACTTTACGTCATGAAACTAAACCGGACCTAAATGGAATGGAAGAAATGAAAGTTGCAGAGCCAGGTTCCCTGCTCAGCTTACGTCTCCATGTTATCCACTGGAAATGCAAAGCAGTGGGCGAATTAATGTGCCGACCACCCGCTCGGACGGCCGCGACGGCGACGGCGACGGCGAAAGCGTGGTGGGAAGCGTGTGCGGTTCACCGCGCGCGGCGCGGGTCCCTCCGTTCCGCGGCGGAACAGCTGTGCGGTGGAGGGAGCAGCGCTGGACTTGGACGTCGCCGGAAATCAATAGTGCTAACTAGATTTTAGACACGAAGATATTATTTGTCGTATAATATAATAATCATCATCTTCACCTGACTTATAAGCCGTATTTTTTCAGCTACGAATAATATTTTTTTCTCACAATAAATCAGTCAACAATACTTTCAGTCATGGCTTATTACCTAAGCGAACAAAACAAATATATCTGTGATGAACTTTTTCCTTGATGAAAAGAGGATATAAAGTGAAGCCCACCGCTGCCACTTGTGGGGCTATGGCCAATAGTATCTGAGCAAGAAATGACCAGTGGATATGAACTAGTAGGGCTCACCCCGTCCACTTGTGGTATGGGTATGGGAGTTGGCAATACTCCTCGATCCAACAAAACATGCAACTAATACTCCTCGATCCAACAAAACATGCAACTACGGTTACGTGTCAGCAAAAAATAGTTTACGTTTAAATTTTCAGTGAATACTATCCATATTTATGATTCCAAATTAATTTATTAACAAAAATACATTTCATGATTAATTTAATAATATTTATTTAATATCATAAACATCGATATTTTTTATCTATAATTAATTAAACTTGAGATACTATACTACAACACTGTGTTAGAATTGCATGTTTTATGGACGGAGGGAGTACAAGTATCTGAGCAAGCAATGACCAATGGATAGTATATTTGATATGACCAATGGATATTTGATAGGCAAGATTTGTAGCTTCAGAAATCGCTCTAGTAATGTTTAAAAAAAAAGAGAATTCGCTTTAGTGTCTCAGCTCGCCGTCTCAAATTTTCGTCATATAGCATCTCAGTTAGCAGCTATACAGTTACTAGATAGTATCATACCCCCGCTATTTTTTTAAAAAATATATATCACCGGACTGTTGTCCTCTAGCTCCATCCAATGGCAGTGCTCATGCCTGTCTCTGTTTTCAGTTATCGTTGACAATCAAGGGTATCTTCCTAACAAAGCACTGACAATCCAAGGTATCTTCCCAACAAAGCTGAACAGAAAAATTAATCTTACAGAGTTCAAATCATTTGGTCGTCATATTCAGAGGGAAGGATTCAAACAAATCGATATTTTTCCAAAGGTGGGACGATCGGAACACTTGTGATCTCGCTCTATATATTTCCACTCAAATCACAGACTATAACACAAGATTATATATGTACATAATAAGCTAGGATAATATATGGACATATTATCATGCATATACAAAATGTACGAAGAACCGCTTGACGCAGCAAAAGAATACCTACTACTAACATTCTAGAAAAACGTTGGGGAGGACGGGCGCGAGAACGAAGTCAGTCTATCCAAGCCATCAATAACATCAAGGTCCCTGGCCGTGTCACGGTCCACGGCGGTGGTCCGGCCGAACTCCCTCGCCGGCGAGCTTCCCTGGCTCCGGCACGAGTCCCAGCTCCGGTGAGCCTTGTTCCGCCGGCCAGGCGGAGGCTCGCAGCTCTGGCTCCTGCCGTAGGACGTCCTCTTGAAGCTCAGGTGGTCTAGCGCCGCGCGCTCGCAGTCCGGCAGTGGGCTCGAGGCCACGCAGCTGTTCACCGGCGACGTGTTGTGCCTCGTCTCTGTATCTGGTTGGAGGTCAGGTGCCACCTTGCATGACCGGGACGAGGCATCTGACGAGGCATCGTGCCTCGATGATTTGCTGGTCCCGTAGCCTCTGTTCTTCACCTGGGTCACCAGGTGGTGAAGGAGCACCACCAGCTCCAGCATGTAGTGCTCGGTTTTCGCCTTGTCGGCATGGTGAAGCGTCTGGATGCGGATGACGCTGTGGGAGCCTGATTTCTTGCTCATGTCACTCCTGTAAGGTGGATGCATGTTAGGTGGTGGTGCAAGCAAAATATGTTATGCTACATTGTCAATGGGAAGCTCAATGGGAATCATGATTTCTCAATTTGGTACTCACCCAAGATTTGCCCATTCGCCGACCCATCCAAAACCTTGGTGCACCCTGGTCAATGAATCAGAAGAAAAAAGAATTGTTAGCACATAGTACTATAGTCAAGTCAGATTGTCAGAGTATTATAACTAAAACAAGCTCAGCCCACCTTATTGTATTTTCTGCTACCGGCAGAAGCCAGCGAAGAGTTTTCTGCATTTCAGCTTTTATTTGAGCTACTGTACGCTGCAGCAATGGAACACCAGTTATTAGCGTGCAAAAATGGATGCACCAAAATTAGCAGTCAAATCAGGTCCTTGTATACCGCTTGAAAATTAAAAAACAGGTCCTTTGAATGCGTGTGGAAATTGACATAAAATAAAACAGAACTTTAAATTCGCCCCACCATCAGTCAGTTTTACAGACCTACTACAGATTACATGCACATGGAAGATACATACTAAGGAAATGAAACATTTGAGCACTGCAAGGTTGTACAAGAAAAAACCTCTTCTTCGGTGTTGAATGTTTGCAATCGTGATCGCAGAGCTGACTTTACTGTTATTGGCAGACCATGGTACAAATTGTCCCTTGCACTATGAGGAAGAGAGAACGGCCGAGAAACCTGCATAGGTAAACACGGTACTTTGAGAATGTCATCCCCACTAATCAATGAAGCATCATCAGTACCAGCCTTAAGTTTGGAAATGTAGACTCTGGTGATACAGGGTATGCACAATGCTTTCTTAACTAGTGCTCTGCTGCTAAGAGAGAGAGATAAGCACAGATACTATTACAGTACACAACTGTACACGGTATGGAAAGGAAAATGGATAGATCATGGTTTGACAAATTGACAGAACATATTCTGGATGAACATATGGAAATTGCTACCATGCCAATATAATGAAAGTGGGACATCATGCAGACATAAATAGACATGGGATAGGCTATCAGAACAACTTACTATATTTTCAATTTGATTGATAATGTTAGCATAATGTAGTGCCAGACCACAGGAACCTAGCCTTTTGTTCTGAGTTTGTTCGGAAGCGCAGAATTCAGTTCCTGAGGTGTTAGGAAATTATTAGATACATTTTTTAAAAAAAAAGAAAAGAAAACAACAAGCTACTAGTACTACTTACCAGCTTCATTAAATGAATCTCGGATTTGTTTATGTAAATATATTACGATGTCCACAAGTTTCTCCACAATCTGCAGTTAGGAGAATAAATAAAATGTCAGCATTCTTCAAAAGATGTTCGAGGGTAAGGAACAACATGTGTAGCGTGTCCGCCAAAAAATGTCTTGTTAGCATGTCACTATTAACAAAGAGTGATGGACATAAAGTTACAGTACAAACTATAAAACAACTAAGTGAGTATGGTTGAAAATTTACATCTTCCAAGGTGCTAGACCACAAGGATTTCTTCTTCAGATTTTTCACAAGCTTCCTCTGGCGCTTTAATTCACTATGCAATATCATTATACTCTCTGCAACAAAAAGTAAAAATAAAATGTAATTACATCCCCCAAGTTTTATCTGTACATGCCTACATGCATGTGTAAAATGCTATAGCAACAAAAAGGGCTATAGGAAATAACAGCTGGTACTGTGAAAGAATGCTTATATCTATGTACACATTTCAAGAATCTCTTCAAAAGAACATGGTTAGGAGTCTCATACATTAATGTAGTTCATTTTCTAAAAAGTGTGGATTCCCGGGTTACCATGTCAATCCTATCTGTCAGCTTGGCAAGCTTTTTTCTTGAACAAAGTGGCAGGAGCTCTGCCTTCCAATCTTGTCATGCTTGTTAACCAGTCAATTTATAAGCTTGTTAACTAGTCAATTTATAAGTTTTTTTGATAATGGAACAAAGTTCCAGCCTCTACCATCCAGGGATGGTACACAGCTGATAGTCAATTTATAAGTGGCTATCACAAGTTGGTTCATTTGGAATAAAGATGGGGATGGAATCGCAGAGAACATACATTGTTTTATTTATCAAAGAGAAACCCAGGGAAAAAAAGTTTGCACTACAACCAACATAAGATCCATTTCCCTTGAAGAAACTCGGCCCAGGGGGAGAGACATTCTCAAGACGTTGCACTTAACATTAAGGAAAGATCCAGAAAGCCGGCTACTGCCCGCAGGCTATCGCTTTAGCAACTGTGTCACAACCATGGGGAATACACAGTTATGGGCCTTTTTTCCTGTGAGAACTCAGGGTTTGGGCCCTGGTTGACAGCCTTACACCTGGAAGTCTTAACAGCATGCTACGAGCACGTTCTCAAGCTTCATTTCCTTTGTCTAATGCCAAATGTAATAGCTAGCCCAATAACTTACTAATATTATGATATGTTCCCCCCAAGTCTTTGCTCACAAAGTGTAAGCATATCACTATTTCCAGACAAGCTAGCTAATGAGAAAAAAGCCTAAAGCATGCAGTCTAACATCTATCGGTACTGCTCCAAAATGGCATCAGTCTTACTGTACCTCGTCTAGCTGCTGGCACAGACTCCTCTTCATGAAACTTCCTTTTAAAATCCTGCTCAAACCTGTCCAGAGCATGCAATTCATGGTAGAGCTCCTGCCATTACATAGTTAATAAGCATCAGTTTCGGAGTTGGTGTGATATTGACAAAAATAGCTTGATACTACCACCATTCTTGAAAATGTAGCTTATAAGTTGCTATTGAGTATATGATGCTCTGATTTTAGTTTTAGAAACCAGCGGACACTCCATAAATTAAACAGCAGAAATGTAAAAGAACAGTGTTACCTTTTGACAAAAAAATAAGTATTTTAAAGTTCAAGACCTATAAGTACACAAATCAGGACACTAAAGCAAACATAAAAGAATTCTTTACAGCATACGTACAGAAGTGTTTTGTGCCAAATTAATCAATTTCTGGACAGTAGCTTCCATGCTTTCCTTTGAATGATCGTGAGGTGTATTATCTGTCACTAACCTGCATATCATAGTAATTCAGAGAACGTCAAGTGCTAATATGATTGTAGATAACGACAACTAAGACGAAAAGCATACTTTTCAGAGGCATACTTGTCGAAATATCGCCCCAAGTTATGCCATATAGGGTCTTTGCAGAGGTCGCCAAATCGTATTACTTCTCTTGAAAAGATGGCAAGTTCTTCCCTGTACGATTCCATTTTTCAAGTCCAAGTCAGCCACAGTTTTGACTAAAGCAACTGAGAGTATTCAGAGCAAGTTCAAATCATACAATCATACCTTTTATCAACGGCAGCAATATGCAACAGCTCAATGGTATTTGAGGACACCAATATTCGCACTCCATCTGAATGCAGAATCTCTTTCTTGAGCTCTTCTATACTCTCATCAGAGCATGACCTCCACAAACTAGAAGCTTTAACTATTGTATTTGCGACCTCAAATGCTAAAATACAGGCTTTATTCCCCCGGTTGGTTCCCCCAGAGAGAAAGCCGCTGCCAGGATTCAAATTTGTCATGCTACTCCCGAGAGTATCTAACACTTCAACAGCCTTTTCCAGACCAGCAATGCTAGCCCTTCCCAAAAATGTACCTGTGTCTGATACCTGGCAGAACTTAGTATGTCAGAGTTCATGTGAAAAGACCTACTGCTATGCTCTCATGTAATAATGTCTTAGTTTTATTCCATCAGCTACAAATAGAAAGCTAACTAGCTGTTGCACAAAACAAAGTCAAGAAAAGGAGGTTGAATATATTATCACTTTAGGAAACATAACATTTGTGCGAGCTCATGAGATATAAAGCAAGATTTATAGTATATTCTAAGAATGCTATTCTGGTCTGCAATGTTAAAAGTTATGAAACAGCACTACTAAAAAATAATGAAGTTCATGCAACTAGATAGAAACATGAAACATTGACTGAGCTTGATCAAAATATATAAGGAGATGTCAGTCCTTCAAAGTTGTTCAATTGCTTCACTGAATTTACTGTGCGATTGAAGATTATCCTTAGCTTGATTTGATGATAACAGACCAGACCAGAGTAAGATGGTGAATTCCCTTAACCAGATGAGAACAAGTAAGACGAGGAAGAAACGGTAGCAGACAGCGGAAATGTGTCCACAGACAACCAAAAATGGTGAATTCCCTTTAATCAGATGCTTTAATATCTTGTAGCCTCATTTTTTATATCTCCAGCCATGAATATCCCATTCATGCTCAATCACCTAGCCACTGCTTATCCAAATCTTTGTCTACACATGTTGACAGCAATATGCAGTAAGACTGGTGTTTGTCCATTGTGTCACAGTTTGTAGTTTGACAATCTCCTTGCACATTCAGAGGAGAGCACCCTCCTAGCTGCGAATAAAAAACTGGAAACTTCATGCCTGTGGAAGAGTAAGATGGTATGATTTGTCGACTCCAAAAGTAGAACGGTCAGACACAATTTCGCGTTGTGGGTCGCAGGTTTGACCATTCCAGAGGGCAGACTTTTGCTGACAGCAACCTGAATGTAGATTAAGCCCTTCACTTATCCCAGTGAAAAGAAGAGAATAGGTCCTCCTGGAAGTGAGCTTAGAATATATGCCAAAAGAAGGGCCGCCAAGCTTGACTTCACATTGTAAGCCGACATGACATGCAGATTTGTGGACTGGCTTTTATTATTGGCTTTACCTGTTGTATGTATGTATGTATGTATCTGTTCCGGTCTCCTTCCCCTTACCCGGTAATCGAGCACATGCAGATTTTGCAACAAATACTGAAACGCCTCCAACCGGTTCCCGAATTCTGATCGAACGGACTATTTTGATAAAGGTGATGATTAGTGTGAAGGGCTTCATAAAGACTTCGCGGCGGCACTAACTGTATGAATGAAGCGAAACAGCTTCAGCTTCGCGGCGGCGACAGCGAGCTGTCGCGTGTCCTCCGTTCACGGCGGCGGCCGAAATACAGCAGGGTCGCTGAGCAGACATGGCTGGAAACTGGGAGCCTCGCTAGCCAATCGAATCAGGATAGCAGTCGGCAGCTGTGTCTCCAAGGTGACCAGAATTTGCAGCAGAGCAGCAGCACCGCAACACCAAATAAGGCAGCGATAGCCGCGATACATACGCAGCAGCATGCGTGAAGCGAGGCGGGGAGGAGGAAGGAAGGAGCGGGCAGCGGAGAGAGAGAAAGAGAGTGGGGCGGTATCAGCCAGCGAGGGAAGGGAGGGAAGGTAGGTACCTTGTGGGAGTGGGGCGGCTTGGGCGGCGGGATGGCGAGCTCGCCGGAGTCGAAGTCCCCGGGCCCGTACCTCCCGCGGCGCGCGTCGTAGGCGGCCGCCAGCTGGCCCGGCGCCGGCGGCGCGTCCTCCGGGAACCGCCTCGAGCACACGCACCCCATGGCCGGCTTGGCTTCTCACCGGACACGCGCTCTGCTCGAGCCTGGAGGCTATTACCTATTACTTAGCTTGCTGCTCTTGTTCCTCGGAGTCGGGCGGCTCGTCGCTCCTCCACCCAGCAGTGGAGTTGGTGGTGCCCGGGGGTCGCGGGTTTGAATGAACTTTGAAGTCGCGGGAGGAGTGGAATGGAACGGACAACGGAGGCGGAGGCGGAGGCGGGGGCGAGGGGGCGGTGCGTGGTGGTGGCTGGGGGATTGAAGAGCGAGCGCCCGAGCCGAGACGACGGCAGGGGGTTGGTTTTGGGGTCGGGGGGAGTTGGAGGGATGGGTCGCTTTTTGTTCCGTGGCCTGGGCGCCTGGCGTGGCGTGTGGTGTGTCCCGCCCCCGTCCGTCCCGTCTCCACTCCCCTGTCCATGTCCCATCCATGGGTCGTCGTCGCCGTGGGCTACCTTTGACTCGTTCCGTCTGTCCTCCTCTAAACAACTTTAGTTCATGTCATGTCGCATATTCGACGCATGCACGAAGTATTAAATATAAAATAATTATAAAATTAAATATACAGATTTAGATTAATTTGAGAAATGAATTTTTTAAATCTAATTAGTTTATGATTTAACAATATAGTGTTTAATCATATGGTAATAACGGATTAATTAGCCATCGTCGTCCCCTCTCCTCCCGTACACCTCCTCTCCATCCGTCGCTCTCCACCCTGCGCTGCACGTCTGCACCCGCACGCACTTCCCCTTGCCCTTTTACACACTTCCATTTCACCTCAGGGTACTTTCTCTACATGATGGGATCCGCTGCGTTCACTTTTACCACGGCAGAGGACGTGTACAGTAGTAAACTTTTTTTTATTAAAAAATATTTTGGTTGGGACCTCGTTGAGATCAAATCACCTGACTTATACTGTGCCACACTTTCTTAGCACACTGCCCCATATGTCATAGTCTTATTTTTGTGACAAGCCTTGCCACGAGTATAGTTTTGATTTTAGTCACCACACTTTCTTTGGTAGCCATAGTTTACCAAAAATTAAGCGTGGCAAAGTTTGGTCATCAATCAGAACAGGCCCTTGCTAGCCCTTTTACACTACCGTTTCAGCTCAGATCCGTTGGCCCAGTGGTGGACGCCTGGATAGTACCCAATTTTGATTTTAGTCTTGACCATACTTTCTTTGGCAGTCAAGACCACGCAGAATCCACAAGATTTTCAAAATAATAACGCTAAGAGGGATCGAACCGGAGGACCTCCCTTTCGCGTGGCAAAAAGTTTGTTGGATCATCAATCATTTAATAAGGGAAAGCAGGCCCTTATTAGCCCTTGTATGCTAAATCATGTCTAAACGACTTTCTTTACCAAAGATGGAGGGAGTATTTATGTAAGTTTCAACCTTTTAAATATTTCATAATTTTGCTAATTTATAGCAAGTTTATCCTTTTGTTTGAATTTTATAGTATTATACCTAGGACTACCCCGATGATGTCGGATCAGGATCCGCTTTTGCGTTGGCCCTTGCTAGCCCTTTTACACTACCGTTTCAGCTCAGATCCGTTGCCTTCACTTTTACCATGCCAGCACCAAGATGTGTGTTAAAGTTTTTTTCTTAAAAAAAATAGCTGTGTATTTAGAGTTTAAAAAATCTCTTCCATCTTGACTGGTACGAGTAGGAAGGATCAGCTCTCTCTCTCTTTTTACTGTTAGTGTAGCTTAGCATTCGTAATGGTAGACTGGAGTACTGGACCGGCACCGAGTCTCCATATAAAAATGCACATACTACTACTCCGTACGTGGTAATTACGCCGCGGCATGGCCGGCACCGCTGTCCGCTGGAGTTGGATTTCGGCTCCTGAAACTATTAAAAAAAACCGTAAACTTTGACCTCCTGCGGTAGTTGGTGTGTCCAGTTTTTTTTTTTTCATTCAGTTTTGCTCGATGAGAACACGTGCGTACATGGCGTTTGGTTGACCCATTTGGTCATTTGCAGCTGGGATCCTTTTGATAAAGGAAGTAAATTTGGTTTCATTTCTTCAAAAAAAAGTTAATTTAGTTTCATCTCCTGTGACAAAAGAAGATCCTAGTTAATCAACATGTCTTCTACTTCCTCCGTTCCAAGTTATAAGTCGTTTTGATTTTTTGTTTATCCATTTTATTATGTATCTTGACATATTATTATATCTAGATGCATAGAAAAAATAAATGTATCAAAAATATCAAAGCGACTTATAATTTAGAATGGATGGAGTAGCACTAATAACTTACGGGGCATGAGTATTGAAAATTTAATGAATAAATTTTATATACGTACCTCTAATCAAATTTAGTTATTTTACTCTCTCGGTGTGCTTTTTTCTAAAGCGGTACCCGTTTCGATACGAACTATATAATTTCTATAAGGTTATGGTAAATTTGTGAAATAATTTATATGTGTTCTATTGTTGAAATGTACTTTTGTGGGTTTTTAATTCAGTCAAAACCTTGCTTACCATCTGTCATAGCAGCTTTAGCTATATCAATTCTTGTGGGTATCCTACCCTTTGGGTGACATCATGAATTAATATTTTAACTTTCAAGTTTTGATATTATTATTAGTTGATGCAATTAACTTAGCTTAGGTTGTGTGTTCGTAAAATAAAAGATATCATCTGTTGAGTACACTCGATGTGTAATCTGCCTTTGCATAATCACTCCCTTGTTCTAAATTATAAGACTTTTTGACTTTTTTCCAGATACATAGGGTTTTGTTATGCACTTAGATATACACTATGTCTAGAAGTACATAAGAAAATTAATGTATCTAGAAATATAAAAACGTCTTATAATTTGAAACGGAGGGAGTATATGTGATGGAATGCATATACTTGCGTAGGATGGTATAATACATATAGATGAGAATATAGATCAAAGCAAAAGCAAGTCCTTTACACACGAAGGCAGTTTAGGTTCACACGATCGACAAAGTTGTACCATCACACAGTAAAGGATAACTCTACGTAGTATACTAAGAATTCAACAGGTGGAAACAGATTTTCATCAAAAAAAAAAAACAGGTGGAAACAGATGAAAATGTTCAGCGGTAATTGACAGTGCGTCCTCCCCTACTGCTGGGTAGTAGTGGCACGCAACACGCCCGTCACATCATCACGCCGGCTGCCGCCTGCCAATGTACTAGTAATCCGGTATTCCGGTCAAGCATTGCGTGCGTAATCATTTGCTGTTGCTGACCACGAAGCACCAGTCCGAGCAGCATGTCACATGCACGTGATGTGTGCTACACGCGGCACGTGGCAGTGGCAACGCTGACCGGACTACCGGAGTCCGGAGCGCCTGCCACACTCTCTGTCTGGCACACCCGCCTCGCCGTCGCCGCGTCGCGCACGGCCACGGCGTCTCGAATCCACCAACATTGCACAGAGCAGGAGCAGAGTGCACAAGGTCACAGGTCACTCTCTGTCTCGTCCAGTGTATCCGAGTCCAGCCAACCACGGTGTGAACCATGGAACGTGAACGACGGCGGCGGCGGCGCCCGCCGGCAGCACGCGAACGCGTACGGCGAGGCGAGCCGGTCGCCCGGTCCGGCACGGCAGTCACCACCCTTTGGTTGGTTTCGTCCGATCGGGACGGCATGGCGCGTCGTGGTCCGGACTCTGGTCAGAGTCAGAGGTCGCGCGCGCGCGCGTCGCTGTTGCTTCCCGGCAACTGGCCTGGTGGGGTCCCCAGCCCACGTGGCGGGCGGCGGTTGGATGAGTGCTGTTTGGAAGTCTCGCTGATGATCCGACGACGTCGTCCTCCGCTCTCTCCTGTCTGTTGGTAGTTAATTAAGAGTCAAAAGGCGACGTCGTTTCAATTTTGATAGGAGGTTGATGGATATGTTTAGTGAATAATATTCACATTTATGGCTTTAAATTATTTTATTATGAAAATACATTTCGTAATTAATCTAATGGTATTTATTTGATACCATAAACATGGTTTTTTTTATTTATAATTGGTCAAACTTATAAGTTACTAAAATGTGACACTATATTAGAATTGCAATCTTTTTGGAACGGAGGTAGTAAAAATTAGCTTAAATTAGCTCTAATGCATCAAACAGGAGGTTAATAGACAGATTAATTTTTTAGACAAAGTCTTCAACCAGTTGTGGGCTAATTTTTAGCTCATATTTATCAAACATGTCCTAAGGCTACTAGTTAGGATAAAGATTTGTTTTAAATTAGCTATCGGTTGTTACCTAGTTGGCTAACTACCAGTTATTGAGCCTCTTGTTTAGATGTGCTATGGTTGATTTTAACTAACTTTTAGCTCGCTAACAATTAGCTAACTCATAGTATTGTTTTTCTTTCCAACGTTGTGGGAGTTCCATGATGAGGAAACTATATAGCTACAATGGACCAGTCCAACGGATAAATAAAACCATTGACAAACCTGGTGGATCGACGTATGGACGGCTAGTAGTTTTGATTAGACTGACATAGTCACGACAGTAACAGTTCTCTCTCAATAATGTATACTACGACAGTATACAGATAAATGCAAACGAATAATTGGACATAATGCAATAGCATAAAATCGTTGACGATCATAAATCGTCCTGTTTGGAGCAATTTTTTTTAACGCTTGACACTTGTCGTCTTCTCGATTTATCGCACTACACGCTCATTACTCTTGTGCCCTAGTTGCACTCGATTTTAGCGTGAAGCAAGGAGGCAGCCGACTACAACTTCCGTAAAGAAAGAAAAAAACGCTCTATAGGAAGCCAAACATTCTCAAGTTTGATCAGATTTATAAAAAAATAGTATCAGTATTATACTTATTACACATCAGAATTATGTGTATCCTTTTCTATATATTTGGTTGTGCATAGGATTTTTTTTTGACTTCTCAGGGTGCAAGAAATTCAGTTTTTTTTTATGGAGGGAGTACTTTAGATAAGTTGAAATCAATTAATGTGATCAAGTCATATAAGGTCATTTTCAGTGGGAGGTTACTAGAGTTTT